GTCTAGCGAAAAGCATTTCCCCATTGGAATGCATTGAAACCTGTTTAATCTGTTCCAATGGGGAAGAATTGTCGTTGTTTAGCAAAGATCGGCCACAGGAAAGCCGCTTTGCGAACCACCAATCAGCTGTTTAAATTGCTGTCTTGCAAAGCTTAGGTCCCGAAAACACCTGTTTGCGAGCACGGAGGGATCTGTCAAAATCGTTGTCTAGTGAAAATTGGTTTGCAAAGCAGGGACCAAACATTGTCCAGCGAAATTCCCCCATAAGAATCACTGTTTTGCGAATCGCTATAGTGATCACAAAAAGCCAATGTCTAGCGAAAAAACTGTCATGCGGGGTAACTGTCTAGCAAGGCACCACTGTATAATCATGTTGTTGTATACTCAGTCTTCATGGTAGGATTTAGGTCAAAGCTAGGATAGACCAAGTAGGGCTTTTCCCCAAACATTGAAATCTAGAGGGCCATCCACTGGTGACTAGTAAATAAATGCCAACTCTCCCAGTCTTATTCATTTTCCTTTTGTATGATAGTATAAACACTCAGTTTCTTTTTAGGGAAACAGCATTCACCCCTTCGGAGGCTGGTCCATGGAGGACTTGTCATGGGGTGGAGGACTTGCCCCAGGTGCCGAAATGACAAATTATGGCTCTGATGGAATATCCTATACTGATCCAATGCAGCACAGAAATGTCACCTTAATCATGTTGCTGAATGGTTTCTGTAGTTCCAGTCACAACATTTTAATCCTGAGTCTCACAAAGCCAGCGTTCCATTATAGTAAACAAACCCATGTAAACTGTGCCCTAGTGAGTCACAACCTAATTTTCAGAAGTGATTAAACCTACCTTTGTGGGAGTCAACTGAAGCCATGTCCTTTGGGAACCAGCTTATGCTTCATTTCAAACCAAAAAAATAAGTTATCCAGCCCTATGGGTACTCCCCTTTAATGCCCCATATCACACGAGGACTTCCTCCCCAGTCTGAACTCCAGACTTTGCCCCACAGAAGTGGAAGCAAAGTCAGGTGTAACAAGAAATCCAGAGCTGGTGAAGGATTCAAAGCTTGGGAAACTTACTTTTTGACCAATTGATTAGGCTATGGAGGAAAATTCCTCTGATTGTTTTTTAATGTGGTTGTATGGTTTGTTTTATGCTTTGTGAACTGCCCTGAGTAGTGATTTCATAAAGTCAGGTTTATTGCACAGTTACAAGGACTTGGAAGAATCAAAAACCTCCTATCTGAAAGGAGGAAAACATCAGGGAAGGTCAAAGTCAAGTATATGATCAGGATGAGACATGAGCTTGTGACAATTCAGGATATAGACTTTCTTGTCTTGCCAGTTTGGGGTTTCCCACATTTGTTTCAGCACCATGTTATTCTTGCTTCATCACCACCTTGCTTACTCCAAGACAGAGCATGGCCATACTGGCCAGGGGACTATGTGAGTTGTAAGCTGGAAAAGTCACTTGTCCAAGTTGTGCTCTAGAGCAGTGTTCCCCAACCTTGGGCCTCCAGATGTTCTTGGACTTCAACTCCCAGAAATCCTGTCCAGCAGAGGTGGTGGTGAAAGCTTCTGGAAGTTGTACTCCAAGAACATCTGGAGGCCCAAGGTTGGGGACCATTGGTCTAGAGTATAGAGAACTGATGAACAAAAGTTTCCCACATAAGAATGAGAAATGGGGGAGGTGCCAGAGGACTGGAGGAGGGCCAGTGTTGTGGAGGAGGGCCAATGTTGTCCCTATCTTCAAAAAGGGCAAAAAAAAAGAGGAACCTGGGAACTACAGGCCAGTCAGCCTGACATCAATCCCAGGCAAAATTCTGGAACAGATTGTAAAGCGATCATTGTGCAGGGGCCTAGAAAACAATGCAGTAATAACTAGAAGCCAAAAACAAATCCTGCCAAACTAATTTGACTTCATTTTTAATCAGGTCACCTTCCTGATGGACAGAGTGAAATCTATAGACATAGTATATCTTGACTTCAGCAAAGCTTTTGACAAAGTGCCCCATGATATCCTAATTAGCAAGCTAAGTAGTTGTGGTCTGGATAGATCAAGTGTCAGATCTTTTTCATTGGAAAAAGAAACCAATTGCACAGTTACAAGATGGGAGATAGCTGGCTCAGCAAAACAACGAGGGAGAAGAATCTTGGAATTGTCATAGATCACAAGCTAAATATGAGCCAACAGTGTGATGTGGCTACAAAAAAGGCAAATATTTTAGGCTGCATTCATAGAAGGATAGTTTCCAAATCCCACAAGGCACTAGTCCCCCTCTATTCAGCATTGGTTAGGCCTCACCTTGAGTATTGTGTCCAGTTCTGGACACCATACTTCAAGAAGGATGCTAACAAATTGGAACAAGCTCAGAGGAGGTTCACAAGGATTTTCAGGGGGCTGGAAACCAAGCCTTATGAGGGAAGCCTGAAAGAATTGGACAGGTTTAGCCTTGAGAAAAGAAGACTGAGGGGTGATATGATAGCATTTTTCAAATATTTCAAAGGCTGTCATACAGAGCAGGGTAAAGATCTGTTCTTGATCATCCCAGAGTCAGGACATGCAACAATGGGATCAAGCTAAAGGAAGCCTTGGTTGAATTGAATATCAGGAAAAACCTCCTAACTGTTAGAGCAGTACGACAGTGGACCCAGTTACCTTGGGAGTTGATGAGTGCTCTGACACTGGAGGCATTTTAAAAAACTTAGATAATCACCTGGCATATATGCTTTGATTGTATTCCTGCGTTGAGCAGGGGTTGGCCTTGTAAGCCCCTTCCAACTTCACTTTTCTATGATTCTATGATTCTACAATTGAAGATGGGCAACATCAATCTTTTCTATCATATTTGACCCCAAATAGCCAACAGTTATATTTTTTTCTTGAATTGGGAAGAAAGAATTCACCCTACCCATCAAAGACTAGGCAAGAAGACTTACAATATTTTTCCGTGTATAAAATGACTAGGCAAGAAGACTTACAATATTTTTCAGTGTATAAAACGATGCTTTTTCCTTTTATACACAGAAGGAAGCAGTCGCATGCATGCTCAGGCACCTCTTGCTGCTGCCTCCCATGCCTGCCTGATCACCCCCTCCAGTGGGACTGGTGGCTGCCGCCTTGTCCCCTACGGTGGTGGAGGCAGCAGGAGGCAGAGGCAGGGCAAACAAACACTTGCATGCACTCGGCCACCTCTTCCTCCTGCTGCCTCCAGATCACCTCCTCCAGCAATCTTCTTAGGGCAGGGACGCCCCGGCAGTCGCACTGGAGGAGGTAATCGGGTGGACAGCGGAGACAGCATCAGCAGGAGAGATGGAGGTGGAGGATTGCCCATTAACTGCTCCTACACCTCCATCATGAGTCAAAATTAGGGGGTAGTTTTATACATTGGGGGGTCGTATACACAGAAAAATATGGTAATTTGAAACTTCAGCAAGTTGACCATTAGGATGATCAGACTAAAAGATGAGAGATTTCTGGAATGGATTAAATTTGCAAGGAGACATTCTAGAATCTTCTTCTTTGAGGGATTTGGATAGAAAGATCAGCAAGAACCCCCCATGAACTGCTCAGTTATACAACATCAGACCTTGGAGCAGGGATGGATCTACACATGGGTTCTTTGCAGTTTGATATTTCTGTGGCTCCTTTATGCCATTTCATTCAGTGTTGGTCAACCAAACTACAGCAACAGTCAGCTGACCACACATTGCAGTTTCTTGATAGGGCGTCTTAGAAACAACCAGCTTGAATATATGGATCTGGCCAATCCCTTCCTTTCTCTAATCATATCTCTATTTCTCTGAGGACATAAATATTACCTCACTGGTGGCTTAAGAAAAAGCATAGAATAAGACTTTTTTTTCATATGTAACCCAAAATATCAACAAGGACAAAGTTTCCTGTGGGAGGAAGGGAAAAGATAGCTGTTTCTGAAGGATTCCTATTTTTTTATTTCTTAAAGTCCTTCAAAAGAACAGGAGAGCCACCAAGAAATTAATCCAATGATGAAGATTTTCTTAAGGTCGCCATGGAACCGATTCAAAGACGTTGCAGATAAATTAAAGAAGCCAAGTCAAAGGCCTGCATTTCTTCCCTTAGGTTTCTCATTTCATACAGGGAAATGGAAGCAGGGGGAGGGTGGATAAAATACTATCCAAGGGATGATTTGATGGATCCACACATTGGAGCCTTGCTTTAAAGATAAGCAACTGGAGAGATGGACCGATGGCTGGCAACGCCAGTGATGGTCGAATGCCATCGGAAGTGGGAGGGAGGGAGAGAGAAAGGCGCTCTTTAAGATGATATCGCTGTTGCTGTAGGTAAGCCAAGGTGATGGCCGCGCCGCATCCAGCACCACGGACAGCACCATGGCTTCCCGCCCCTTTCCTTTGCCCGCCCGGCTGCCGATCGCTGACTTACACTGCTCCGCTTTGGTCGACATGGCGATGGGGCTGAAGAAGGGGAAAGACTTGGTCGCAATATTGGCGGCTTCTCCACTAGCGCTGGGCGGCGATCTCCCGGGACCGAGGCGGTGGCGGCGGCGGCGGCGACAACGAGATCATCCCCTCCTTCTCGCCAGAGCTGCCTCCCGCCTCCTTCGCTGCCTCTACCATTGCTGCAAACTGCAACGCTGCCTCCCTCCTCCCCTCCCCAAAAGACGTCCGCGGGAGGGAGGAGCCGGCGGCGCCTTCAATGGCGCTGAAGCAGAGCCCACCTGGGCCCTCCGAGCCTTCGCCACCGGTCCCCGGACCGTCCGTGGGCGATCAAAGGCAAAGCGGCAAAAACGCGCCGTCCGGGAGAAGCCTGGGGCGATCAATGGAGAAGGCTGGGAAACACGCTCCCCGTCGTTCCCACCCACCACCACCCCCCATAGGCAAAATGAGCTCGACCACTGATGGAAAGAGGAAAGCAGGGGAGGAGCGTTCCATTCATGAAGACAGGCGTTGGAGGGAGGCCAGCCTTTTAAAGGGGAACCCACCACCTGCCCTGCTTAGAGCAGCCTTCAAAGCTGGGCAAAGAGGAAAGCGACGGGGTGGCAGCAAGGAGCCCAATGATTTTTTCAGGTTGAGTCGCAAGGCGTGGTCACGTTCCTCCATTTCCATTGAGATTTAGTTTGCAGGCTTAGATTGATTTCATTCTGTTCATTCGTTGCTTTTTGACTGCCGTTCCTCAAAGGAAACTAGGCTGGTGTACAACATGATACAGGTCGGAAGTAACCAACTACATATCAAGAATTACTTAGAATTAATTTCTTTGCAGTAACGTAAGATATAACCAGTGGTGTAGTGTTAAATTTAGAACTGCAGACACCAAATATGGTATTTTCCGCAGCCAGCCACCCTCCCATAAGAAGAGCCCCAAAACACTGGCAACTGAATTAGTCCATCTCAACTAATGAGGAGCAGGTCTTTTGTAAGGTCCATGCTTGTATATGCGCATTCAAGACCGAGCCACCTTCAAATCCTTTGAATTACAGCTTGCAACAATATACTGTTTCTGAGAAAATCTGGTTTTTGACCAGCTATTCTAAAGTGTACCATTAAGTTCAAAGGGAATGTGGAACGTACCTGCTAGTCAGAAAATCTTGGGGTTTTGACCCTGCAAGCCCTGGTTCCACTGTACCACTGGAAATTACTAAGTTTTATTGTGATTTCAACACTGCAAGTAACAAAAGTATTCCGATTTAACATTACTTTTATAGGACTAAATCCTGTTGTAATTAACCCATGAGAGGAGAACTGTTGACTCAATGGCTGGAATCCTGTTGTATATCTCTGCCAGCATAACACCACTGGTGTAGTTGCTAGCAGAAAATTGCCTTTAGCCAAGTCAGAGTCAACATTTCCTATTGAACACAAAGTCACACAGTTGGTGTGCAGCAGGAAAGGGGCCTATACCAAATGCTTACTTTGCCACAACTCATCAGTGAAAGCTGCACAGTTGGTGTTATGCTGGGAGCACAATTAATAGGATTCTGGTCAATGAAACATATATACATATGGAATTAACAAGTTCCACTTGATTCAGTGGGTCTAGTGTACACTCTAATATATTTTAATGCTGTTTTTAACAACAGAAAAGCTAAGGGTTGTTTGTAACTATAATGGTAATTATGTAGGCATGGACAAGTGCTTGGAAATGTCACTTTAATTAATTAGTGTAAGCATAAGGCCAAAGTGGGTGCTACATACCCACCTGAGGGCCCCCCCACGAGATGTGTAAAAAGGCAAGGATTCTCACATGTAATACTGTAATAATTATGTGCCGTCAAGCCAGTTCCTATTTTTGGTGACCATTTTCAGAGTTTCCTGGGTAGTTAAGTGGCTTACCATTCCCTTCTTCTGGGGGCACCCTGGTACTGTGCAGTTTGCCCAAGGACACGTAGGCTGGCTCTTTTCTGAGGAGGCACTGTGGGGAGATCAAACTCCCAATATCTGTCTCCACAGCCCAATACCTAAACCACTCAGCTATCTAGCCAGCTCCACTTATATACACACACCAAAATCAGTCCAGGAAAAGAAAAATATACGTTGCCTCCAAATGAGGAAGGTTCCTCCTCTCTTCTGTTTCTCGTTTCTCTATCCTCTTCCCACACAGAGAGTGTGAATCTGGAGAACTCTGTCTCTATAACTCTGATAAAGAGGCAAGCAGGAGCCACTTGGCTGGGGCAACGTGAACCTGAAGCAGGGTGGTGCCCCATTTCTTCTAATCAACTAAGCACCCTTGGCTGAATATATGATTCCACCTCTCAAACCAGTCATATGATTATCAGTGCCAGTGCTCATCATGACAATCCCAATTGTCAGACCTCCCCAATACATGGAATCCAAAAATGCAGGCTACTGGAAAAGCTCACATCAATAAACAAGGAGCAGGTCTTTTGTAAAATTAATGGCTTTTAATTGCCCACTGAAGATTACCTCACTGTTATATATGTGGCATTAAACAGAGAGCTTATTGCAACAGTCCACTGTTCCTGGAAATTGCAGGTAATTTCTGAGGGAACAACCAAGATTCAGGGGTGAGAGCAAACCATGTCAAATCCTTGCTTCTCAGAAAGCCCCAGGCCTCTGACCCTGGAAGCCTTGGCTCTACTACTCCACTGCTTTCTTTGCCATAACTCATAATATAATATTCAAAACCAGTACAGGTCATCGAAATGCGAATCATCAGACAGCAAAATATAATCAACTAACATTCCTTTAGCAAACAGGGGCTACCAGGGGTGGATCTACTATGAAACTAAATTATTATAATTTAAAAGTGCTTGTAAAGCACTAAACAACTTGAAACCTGGATATCTTAAAGGAGCCTCATGGTGCAGTGGTTAAAACAGCTGTACTGCAGCCAAACTCTACTCACATTCCAGGGTTCAATCCCAGGTAACTGGCTCAAGGTTGACTCAGCCTTCTATCCTTCTGAGGTCGGTAAAATGAGTACCTAGCTTGCTGGGGGGAGGCAATGTGCAGCCTGCATAATAAACTTGTAAACCACCAATACAGTGTTTGAAGTACTATGGGGCGGTATATGATCAGCACAGGGTTTTTTTTGCTTTAAGGAGTCCTTCTCCCTATATAAAAACTGCCTGCTCATTGAGATCTGCTTCAGGATGCCCTCCTTTGTGTCCTCCGTTCATTATGTGGAGGCTTGGGGGGGAATCTTTTTCTCCTGTAGCACCCCAACTGGAATGCCCTCCAGTTGAAGCTTCGATGGGCACCAACATTGGCATCATTTCAGTGCCAAGTCAGAATCTTTTGTGGGTTGACAATCGTGGCCTACACAAATATTAGTGTTAGTTTTTTTTAACGTTTGAGTGTTTTAATTTTGCATTGATTTAATTTTTTTAAAAAAAAAATCTTATGATTTTAAATTGTTTTATACAGTTTTGTAACCCATCCAGAGATCCTATGAAACAGGGTGAGTTATAAATGTTTAAACAAACAAAGTGCTGTCAAGTCAATTTTGACTTATGGCAATCCTTTCCAGTGCTTTCTAGGCATGCAGTACGTAGAACCATTCCTCTGTTCTGGGGGAGCCCTTGGGCGGTGCAACTTGCCCAAGGCTACATAGGCTGCCTTTCCTCCCAAGAAGCACAGTGGGGAATCAAACCCACAACCTCTCATAACTCACTGAGTTATCCTACTATATGTTCACAGCAAAATGTTGCTTAAAAAAAGTATTGCCTTCCTTGACTCAAACAAAATGTTTGTTTGTTTGTTTGTTTGTTTATCCCACCTATCTGGTCATTGCGACCACTCTAGGCGCATGTTGAGCCTGGAATGCATATACAGTAGAACTTAAAATTAATTACCCTGATTTTTACAGTCTGCTGCTTCAATGCTTCCTTTGCAGACTGAAAGAAATGGCAGAAGGAATCTAATTTGACCCTGTGGTGCTCCAGTTTCAGCTACTTGGGGATTTAGTTAACAAAGGACATGTGAAGCTAATTTTCCAAAACTACAATCCAGTGCTTTGGTACCTCAGGATAAAACAAATATATTGAATTTTATTCAAATTTTAGCCAAAGGCCATTGAAACATTGAGACATACACAAAACCAATGACAAGTCAACAAAAAAGTATCTTCATAACCATATATAACAAGTTTCAAAATAGCTAGAATTTAAAGTATATAGTATTTCATATATATAAAAGAATCTTATAGAGAAGAACTCTATTTTTATACCGTCATCCTTTAGTGACCTGACCTTTGCTAGCCTAAATGGCCTTAGTCACCATACGCTACACAATGGGGTCTTTATCCATTTGATTAATCCAAATTTGCCTTAGCTTGATGGCTAGCCGGCCAGATTTGGCCACATTGTAAGTTGTAGACTTATTTCTATCTTCTAGCAAGGTCTGGAGACAGCCCTTCCTGTCACCTCCATCCCTGTCCAAAATAATTGGATTGATGTAGCTTTCCTGGATCTGTGTGTAAATTTTGCAGTCCAAGAGTACATGCTCCAAGGTCTATATACTTCCTTCCCCCTGCATATACACAGCCAATTCAAATACGGAATTTTCTTATATCTGCCCTCCAAGACAGCAGAAGGCAACATGGAAGAAACTTAAAGAATGGTCCATCCTTAAATGAACTACGCTATGTGGGACAAATTCGGCTAAAATGTTTGCAAAGCCAGATTTCTATTTCTTTTTCAGACCTTCCCACTGTGCCTCCCAAGGGGCAAATTGGCAGAAACTAATTTAGTGTTATATAACCAAGGGAAAAAAACGATTTGCCAGTACAGTTTTACTGTATTTCACAGCATGTCAAATAAAGCAATCCATTTTGTAAGAGGTGGCAGCCCAGCACCATGGCTACTGATGGGAAATTACTAAGAAACCCTTTATTGATAGCAAGGAGCCTTTGCTACCAGTAAACAAGAGATCCATAAACAAAATGAGCGTCTGTTTTCCTGACAATTCTTCTCACACGTATGGAACTCTAGGAGAAAATATTGGCCCCTTGATAGTCTCCTATGGGCCTATTTTTTAGGCACCTTGACTTTTATTCTGAAGAAAAATGAGGTCTATGTGTCAAATGGAGAGAAATGGGCATGTTCTGGTTGAGGGACTTGTTCCATGAGGCTACATCTGTCTCACAGATGCACAGTTGCTAAGCTAAAAGGACTTAAAGTCCTGTAGTTGCAAAAAATGCAAGTCCTCACATTTGCCACAAAATTACAAAGGGGGTGAGCTGTAATATGCTCTCTTACTGATTTTGAAAATCTGGATGTTGCTCCTTTTTTACACTACTGTGGTGAAACTTCAAAAAAAT